TTTGACATTGTATAATTCCTTATATGGAATGATGGTGTAACACCTGGGGTTTTTCCATTGACTATTAAGGTGTTTGAGACATAGAAATTTTCCATTAAAATCTGATTGAATGATTCTGATCAGATGATTATCCCAACCAATGGCGACATGAGTTGAGGATAACCTCCCCTGCCACAGAAGTCTTTAATTGCACTGCACACTCGCAACACGGGGCAGTTTTTCTTGACCTGGCAGTCTACGGGGCAGTTTTACCTTGATCAGGCAGCCGTCCATATTGTCCGGCTATAGACTCTGACCATTTGAACGTGAGAGTACTTAAGACCTGTGTGTGCCTTGCTTTCTTAAGTTGATTTAGTCTTCTAGTTAATATTACTTGTCGCTAAGTAATTCCTGAAGATATAGCAGTGTTGTGTGGCCTGTGGCTATTATTAGACAGTGTAGAAATCTGTGATAGTGTTTTTTCCTACATCGTGTAAGTTGGGTTTTTTATATTTTATACATTAAATATTTTATCTAGTTTCAACCTTGTGTTTTGCCACTTCTGTGTTCGCTGATTAAAGGTTATATGTAGATTGGATGAGTATTAATTACAATAGTATCACTAGCTTCCCTAGACATTGATTTCGAGCCCTAGTGTGTCGTTGTGTTAAGTGTTCATCCACTTAGGCCGTAAGGCATTTGCATATGACCCCGAAAAAAGAATCCGGGGACGTTCTCCTTCTATTTGGCTGATAGATAGGTTAACGTTACAAAGTGATGATTCAGATTTGGATTATGAATATCGAGAACTGGCTAAGTTATTATTTGCATAACTTAAAGCGGCGAAGTAGACTTTCTGCATCTTTGTGTTATAAAGGATATTTCTGAGTAGCATATAAATACAATCTATAGCCCCACAATAAGGTGATCTTAAATAGTGCTGTTTGATCAATTAAAAGCTAATTTGGAGATGAATAAGACTATCATTAAGCTGTGTTTCTTTCAGACTTTTTTTTCTCCCACGGGTGGGGGCACTTGAAAATGTTGGGTGGGGGGGGGGGGGGGGGGGAGCTACATTTTCTGGGCGGGAGCGGACAATGTTAAAAAATATATTTTCTATATAAATTCCATTCGTTCGAGGGGGTGGGTGGAAGAGATGCCTGAAATAAACTGTCCTTAAGAACCTACAGTATATTGATGAACATGATTGTGGCGCATCTTTGGTCTGCAGTAGTTTTAGTCACCTCATAATGGCACCAGTGGCGTGACTAGGTCGGGAATACACTGGGCGGTCACTTAGGGTGTCCCCCCTCAGCCGTAAGGGGGGGGGGAGGAAACGTTAAGTAGGCTATATATTTTCAATATTAATATATATTTTTTTCTATATCGCCCGAAAGAAAGGGGCTCAGTCACAAAGAAAGGGGCCTCCATCACAATTAAGGATACGTGTCAACTGGTAATGCGCCATTGATGCCTTTGGTCCATATTTCAGCCTGCTTTTCTTTTTGGATTTGCTTCCATAGCCTTTGTCCAACCAAGAACAAACTACAAGGCAGCAGTTGTTTCATTTTGGAAAGTAGATTTTGTTTTTTTGTTTTGGTGTCACCCTTAGATGGTGTCACACGGTGTACAGAGTATCTTTCAGCAGGCATCTTTTCTCATCTCATCTCGAACGAAATGGAATGAATGTAGAAAATGTGGTAGATTGGAAACACTGACGACAGAAACCATGCTGTTTGTATATAGAACGTTTATTGGACCTCAGCTAACATGATGGAACCGGAACAGGAAGTGACGATAGATAAATACAAGGGACATCACTCAATAACAACATTATAAATATAATTAATACAAGAAGAGTGAGTTCTCTTGACTTCACGAATCTAAATATATTACAGAAAATATATGCTTTTACCAGTGTCCGCCCCCCCCCCCCCCCCCCCGGAAAATTTAGTCCGCCCCACCCTGAAAATATCAAGTGCCCCCCCCCCCCCTATCCGGAGAAAAAAGTCTGTAAGAAATACTTCAGTGTTGTCCGCCCCTACAATACGTAGGGCAAACAACAACATATTTCAGAATCGAAGTATTCAACAACCAGACGAAGGCTTGTGTCGCTCTGACTCATTACTAGCGGAATTGTTTCGGAGAAAAAAAACAAATCACCGAAAGCACATTGAACTTCTCATTCGCGCAATTTAGATCTACTTTCAAACTTTGGACTTTGGAGTGATATCGTCTCGCCCGCTACATGTTTTTGTTTGGCTGTTTCCGTGCTATTCGCGGGGTCACGGTCAAAGATCGGGCGAAATGCTGCGATAACGCTAAGGTTACGGACCTTCCGATCACGCACGAGACGGCATAAAAAGTTCCGATCGGGCTCCGTAATCATACAGTCAGTAGAGACAGCAGCGAACAAACGGGGGAATTTTTCACGGACACACATCAACTATGTCTAACAGTAGCGGCTACAACAACGTTGTCGTTGACGGTATTTATTTTGTTCATTTCTTTTTTTAAATAATTATTCGTAATTCATAGTCTATTATTTTCTAGAAAAAAAATTGTTAGGCCTACATTTACAGAAGATGCAGAAACTATATAAATCTAGTTAGGTTAATTTTTTTAAAGGAGTAGGTCTACTTGTTGGTACATAAACTAGTACATAAAATTGTTTGAAAATCAGGTCTTAACAAAAAAAATATAATTAAATGCCGCTATTAAAAAACTTAAAAACTTTAAGGAATATGCAATACTCTAACAAAAGAAAAATACATTGTAAAAAGTGATTAAAACTTTCGGTTAAAATGTTTGTGTGTATGTCTAGGTTTATATATGTGTGTGCATATATATATATATATATATATATATATATATATATATATATATATATATATATATATATATATATATATATATAAAAGCACATTATGAATATGTCATTGCCATTGTTTGCAGCAACGGCATATCCTCCACCCAAACCTACACTATTGGAGTCTGTCGTTCATATCGTGAAGAAATCTGCCCTCTTAGTTGTTAGGTAAGCTGTGTTTTTTGGTTTTATTTGGTTTATTATTTGATTTTAATCAGAAAGATATTAATGTCACAAATTTTTAATAATTGGGTATATCACTGTTAAGTAATTTTGATAGCTTGTTCGGTTTTGTCGAAAGCATTGCTTAGCGCAAATAACTAATACGGATAAGATAAACAATAATTATTAGATACATTTAACCATTATTGTTGCCGTTTTATTTATAATCCTTTTAACACAAAATAACATATCTAAAAATCAGTTTTAAAAATTCACCCTTAACTCCACCCCTTCACGCAATTTAACAAAAATCCAACCCCCCTCCCCCAAAATGTGACATTGTTTATTGAAGACCCCACCATACACATTTTATAAAAGCTAAAAAAAGTCATTGTATTTCTAATTTCAAACTAATTGTATTTTTTAATCCAATCAGGTACTATGTATTGGGAATGCTGATTGTATATTCTTACATCAAGAAACTTTTCACAAGAGCCATCGAGCCACTGGAGCCAGTATTTGAGCAGGTCAGGAAAGTCCCCAAAAAAGACATTAGCGCAGAAGGAATTTTCTATCAGGTTCTTCGGCTACAGTTTTTAGTGCTGCTCTTTGTGTCTCCATACATCGCCAGTGCCTTCCACTATCTAGCCCAGCCGCTTGTATGGGCCAGGGACTGGATGCTTGCTGCAGTTGATATTGATTCAAGTTCTTATAAAAAGTCAGAGTAAAAGGAGTTGCCTTTAGAAATTATAAAAAGTAGTGAGACTGTGTACAATTTGAATTTAGATTTTGACAAAATGTCGTAAGTTTAGGAAAATAACAATGTAAATTTTATGGTGCTAATATTTGTACATATAAATTAATGTACATATGATCAAGTTCTTAAGTAAATTGTTTTATATATATATATATATATATATATATATATATATATATATATATATATATATATATATATATATATATATACTGTTATCCAACTCTATTATGATCACTTATTATTTAAATTAAATAATAGGCTAATATTTGGAAGTTATGATTCAGTATGCATAAATTTGATGTGTTTGAATCAGTTGACCAATGTGATCACTAGTCACATTAGCCAGAAACTACTGAATACACATGATGTACCTGACATGGATAATGTCCCCTTTTCTTTGAAAATAATTGCCAAAAAATGTGGTTTAATAGTTAAGCAAGCTATTTCAATTTTCATTTATTTATTCCATTTGGATAAGTTCTGTGTAAAGTGAAGTAATAAGGGTATACAATACAGCTAGTGTTGCACATTTCCTAACTTCATATCTTCTAGTTCTTTTGCTTTCGATTACTAGAGAATACTATGGAGTTTTTGGAAAAAAGGTTTTTTGTGTTTGAAATTTTAAACAGAAAAATATGTTTCATGTAGTTTAAAGCTACTCAATTGTATTTCTTAATTTTTTTGTTGTAAATATTTTTATAATTGTTGTTCATTGTTAAAATACAGTTTTTAAAATTAAAATGCTGCTTAATTTATATTTTGTCTTGTTTTTATGAAGGAAATACTTGTGTCATATAATCTTTCATAAAACATAGCTATAAATATTACTGAGGCAAATATAAAGCAAAAAAACGAGAAATTATAATTAGAAAGTTTGCATTTACTGAAATGAAACAACTTGGTTTAAACATTATTAGTTAGGCCCATACAAAGAAATAATCACCAAAAAAAAAAACTGTTTAAAACAACCAACAATACAAATGTCATTGCCAGACAATAAATCCAAACAAAACAGATTAAGCTAACTTTCACCATTTTAAATCATTGAGTAATACCTACAAGACTGTACTGCCACTTAAGGTACAATAGAACAAGTGTTGCTATATATTACACATCAGTGTCACCATCCACTACACTAAAGTTCAAAGTGTTATGCAGCATTAGCTTTCATTTAACAGATTACATCACAAGGTGTTTTGGCGTGGTAAAGCACATAGTAGTTTGGTTGTTAAGCTCAAGACTAAAGGACCTCTCTGAGCTAACCCAGCTCTGGTGGGTACCTGACTACTCATAACGATGACAGAATAATCCTTTTATATACAGGAGTCATGAAATAGGTTAACTTTATTTTATCTTAACAAGTCTAAAAAGGGTGCAAAGAACATCACAATTTGTATTAAAAAACATCTAGCCAATACAAGCAGTGCTGGACAAAGAACTAGGTTGTATTGATTATTAATAAATTATTATAAATTTATTAACAAAGTATCTGTGAAAAATTGTAATGTTAATCACACAAAGCAAAAACAGTGTTGAAAGACTTTAATAATGTGTTTTTTTATCAGTCAAAGTACAGTGAAATCTTGTGTCAACTTTATTTATAAAACAAATAGTAAACTCATTATCTTTCTAATTTACAAATGATTATAAAATTATAAACAAAGTACTTGTAAAAAATTATAAATATGTTGATCACAAATCAAATACAAATTTGGAAAAAGGTTTTGTAAAAAGGCATATGAAATTATAAAACAAATTATAAATCAGGAATCTGAGATTTTCATCAGCAGTTTCACTTGAGTTAAATCACTTCTTTAGCCACTGGACCATACTTTTAAATAGAAAGCCCCCAGTTATTCTGAAAGACATCAGACATTTATTTAGTATTTATACCCCATATATTTATTAACTTAATGCGTATTAATAATATAATTTATTTATGTCAAAATCAAATCTGCTTTTATATAACAAACAATCCAGCAAACAGTCTCTTGTAAGACTCTTGAATACCTTATGATTAATTATTTTAATCAGTATACATTATCTATCTCACAAATTCTGAGTATAAAAACACTGTTTTAAAATATAACACATCAAAAAGTTTTAATATCTCAATCTTTCTCTCCCAAAATTACAGCATGAACACACCATCCCAATGAAAATTAGAAAGATCTGAACTCACATGTCTTAAGTCAATGATTTCTAAAAAAGATGCTCTAGATTTTGGATGACTGTCAGCAAGTTTGATAATGCTGTCACAAATGTTGTCCATTTCAGTCTGTTAACACAAAAAAAAACCAATATTTAACCAATATTTATAGCAATATTTATCAAAGGATGAAAATCAAGTAATATGAATTAAAATATGATTAAGCTGCATGTAATATGCATTTGATTTGATACATGCCTTAAGAAAAAAAAAATCTTAGTTAATTTTCAAAGGAATAGAAAACTGAAAATATTTGAACATCTAAGTACCACATTGATTATTGATTTATACTCCAATTTATGGACACACATTAAGTTAAAATGAGATTAATAAAAAGAGCATTGTGGAAGTGAATGATTATCATATTAACTTAAAAAAGATAAAAGGAGAAAGTCAAAATCAATATGAATAAAAATGTTTAGATATTATGTCTGTTTTATTACAGTCTTACAAAATTATTCTCATTCTGAATAACTTTTCACTTACTTTCATTCCTTTAGTGTCTAATTGGGATCCAACATTTTCCAAAATCTGACAAAGTACTGAGAATGAGTCTTCATTACATGTTGCCAGGAGGTATCGAAGACATTTGTAAATAAAATTTGGCTGTAAAATTCCAACTGTACACAATTCAGTGCAAAATCTAAAATGATATTAAATAAGATTTTAATCATAGTTTTTTAAAAAAAGAATAATGTTCTATTGCAAACTTTTTTATACAATAGGATAAATCCTTTGGTTTGCTTTGACAGCTTTTTAAAAATACTTCAGAAAACTTAATTGCCTAGTTTTCTTTTAAAAGCATAAGTATTTATAAATTGACAAGAAATGCATGAATAAATATAAAGAAAAAAACTAAAATATCAACAAATTATGGATTTTAATTTTGTTTTACTTAATCAATAGACAATAGACTAGTTTATTTAAATCAGAGACTTTGGTCTCTGGGACATCCCTGAACTCTACTCCATATGCTCAATTGATTGTCAAGTCCAAAAGGGTAACTTAACTTTTAATGATTGTATTAAGTTTTATCTTGATGATTGAATTAATTGATTCTTAATGAATTAAATCTGCAAAACTTAACCTACAAGATATTTCCAAAAAATTTAGATCGTCTCTGTTTTAATTTCCGGGTAGACTTTTTCAGTTGTTCCGCTTTATCTGGCTTGTTAAATAATTTTTTAAAAAGTATTAAATTAAAAAAAAAAAATACCAATAAAACTAAAAAGCATCATACGAAAACATTTATTTTACTCTAATACAAATATACAGACCTACTTAAAATACAGACAAAAATACAGCTGAAAATATTAAGGTGGCAGCAATCAGGAAGGAGCACCCCCACTAGCTGACCCCTAGTGTAATTGATTCAAATTTAGTTGCCAGAGGTATTGTGCACATCAGTGGATTGTAAAACAGGGAAACTGGATACTGATAGTGTGATAGGAATCACATGTTATATTTGGCCAGATTTAATAGTTTGGCCAAGTAAAAACATTTTCTACTTCAATTGAACAGCCAACTGTGTTGATTAATGTTTAAAAACATTGTTGCTGTTCATTACAAATAGAAATGCACTTTCTAAAAAAAAAAAAATGCAAGATCTAATTTATAAACCTAATGAGTAGTTTTATAGAAGAGCTATTGATTATGAAATTATTAAACAGCAAATCTTACAGTACCCCATAGAACGGAAATAGGCAGATGATGCTGTAGGCAAAAATACTGTACTTACTTCATCCCCACTGAGTTGCTCAGAAGTTTCCGTCTTCTCTAATCGGCTGAAATAAGCTTTTTCTGAGTCAAACATTTTTGTACAAAATTTAGTTAGAACTTCACGGAATGCAATGTTGAGACTTGATGTGAAGATTGGTACTGATAACTAAAAACATACAAAAGAAATATCTATTAATAAAAACTAAAAGAGTAAATAAATATAACATTTTGATAAAATTATGTTTTTATACTTCAAATGCACAAAAATGTACACACATTTTCATTTTCTGAAAAATTATTTTTATTGTACTATACTTATACTGTATGAAAATGACATTTGTATTTAATAGATTTATATCAGTTTTATACCAAAGGCAAAATCAAATTTTAAATAGTCGTAAACATTCTCACCTGAGACATTTCTAAGCAAAGCTGAGCATAAGCTTTTAAATTTTTTGAATCTAAAATTGCCTGTTAGAAAAATAGTTTAATAATAATTAACATAAGCCAATTAAATCAAAACATCAATGAGCAGTCCATACTTAATAAAAAAAACTTCTAACTTTATAATACTCACAATATAATATTTGTATGTTTTGGTGTAGAAGCTGCAATATGCTTTACAAATAATACTTATATTGATAGAAAATAGTTTAATTTATTCTTCACTAATTATATTTGTGGTTTTAATAAGGACTTAAGTTAAAATAACTGTGGAATGTTTAATTATTTAAATTATATGAAAAGAGATACAATACTAATTCAATTACCTTTTCATAAATAATTTTGACTAATTGTTCTAGATCATTTTCAACTTCAAAATTAATTTTTTGCAGTTCATCAACAATGACCTTGACATTAGTTACTGTTAGCCTACTTAGGTAGAATAGCACATCAGACTTCAGGGAATTCCACTAAAGTTGAAATAATGAAATAATGAAGATATTCAATTGGTAAAAAATAATTTTTATAAGAACTAGATTAGTTTCTAGTGTATATATTTTAATATTACACAAATATTTTTAAAACATTAAAGAAGCTGAACAAGAATTATAATTACAATATAAAAATAAGAAAAAATTATTGTATTTACATGTATCCATATCAATAATCATTTGGTATAAACCCTTAATCATAATGGCTTAGATACAGATAGCAAACAATTATTGTTAAATAACTTACTTTTCTGTCTAATCCAGGATGGGACACATCAATTGACTTTCCTTGAATGTGAGGCTAAAAAATAAAATATAAATGGTTAGATGATCTTTAATGGATCATCATTTTACCAGTCTAAAAATATATTTAGGACATATACTTTGAAGAAAAATAACTATCAATACCAATACCTTTAATATAAAATTTTTATAATTGAGTTTTTTTTTATATTACTTTCTCGTATATACGAAGTATAGAGAAAGTATTGTAATCGTGCAAAAAAAAAAAATCGAGATTTTTACAGATCTCGACGTTTTACACCTCACTGATACGGAAAAACATAATTTTGCAATCTTGTCCGTATGTCTGTGTGTGTGTGTGTGTGTGTGTCTGTGTGTCCGTGTGTAAACACGATAACTTGAGTAGCGTTACAGCTAGGTTGATGAAATTTCATATATAAGTATTTTATCAAAATCGTAGATCCGTATCAACTTTTGAGCGATTTCCGATAACCGGAAGTGGTACTTTTCCTACTTTGAATTTTTCAAAAGCCTATAACTTGAGTACTATTTCAGATAGATAATTGAAATTTCACATTTAAGTAAAAGATCTAATTCTCTACCTTCTGTAAAATTTTGAGTAATTTCCGTTGACTGGAAGTAGTAATTTACTCTACTTCAGATTTCTCAAAAAACTAATGTAAATTTTAAAAGTACTAATAATATTGCGCACTATTATGCGCTTTTTTATTTGGCGTTCACTCTGTGTGCAATTAATTTGTCTACGAGATTTTATTCTATTTTTAAAACTTTAAGTATTTAAAATGGATTAAAAATCATGTCTATAGCCCGAGTTCCCATCCCCTGTTATTTTATATAAGAATATTCGAGAAAGTTTAGGGGAGATCACTCCCGGTTTATTTTTAAAGACAATTGAAAAACCAGCGGGGTTGGTGTCATCATCCACAGGAACAAAATGGTTTAGCTGTTGATCACACTTGCAAATCCAAAAGTATGAGTTCAACACCTAGCACTGATACCATAGGTTGTCCCTTAACCAAACAGTCCCTCATCCCTAAACCAGGGGGGGGGATGAAATGGGGGAGGAAGCAAGTGGATAGGTAGAAACTTGTGGGTCAAGTAGCTGATAATATGGCTGTGTGAACTACTTCATTTTTCATCCCATTGTGGTCTGCATAGCTAATGAGTATTGCTCAAACTAGTTATGCCTTTATAAGTAAAGTAAATATTTCTTTTTAGACCTAGTGATCCATTGGGCAGATGAAGTAGAGTTCATGTTTCTTGACCTTGGCATATGAAGGGATAATGTGGTCAGCACTATGCCCAGCCCCCTTTACTTTCTCTAATGTCAGTTAGGTACCCATCAGAGTTGGGTGGACTCAGTGACGTTCTACTCCCTTGAACCCTGATATGCCCTTATAAAGCAAGTGTGGAATGATATGAACATTTTTTATGGTAAATAACTTGTATTTAAGGATAGAAGTACAGCCCTCTTTTAAAATTTTTAATTTGTAACTTAATTTTTGGAAATCATCCATCCATCCCTGTAGCTGTACAGAATTTTTCAAAACACATTTATCAAATGTACCTTCTTACACAAGCATTCAAGTTCTTGTAGCCCTTCTGGTATTTGTAGAGAGAGTGGTGACACCCTTAGTTTCAGAAGAAATTCTCTTGAGTAACGATATCTGGCTGGTGAATTCAAATATTTAAATCATTAGTTCTTTAGAAACAATTTTTAAAAAATATTATTTTGAAAAATTATCAGCTTAAGGAATTGGAATAAAGGGTCATCCATCACCTACATCACACCTTGGAGAGGGTGTGGGGGAGGTTTAAGAAATGTGACCTAGCATATCTTGTATTTTTTAAGAGGGGGAGCTTGATGTTGTGATGTGTGACAAATGAAACGGGAGAGAGGAAATCAACTTAAATGATGTGATTTCATCTAACAGAATTATAATAACACAATATATACTATCTTATGCAACTATGAATATATAATATAATTTTTTTTATTGTTAATTGAACTGATAATTTTGATATAAAAAAAATTAAATAATTTTGCAGTTTGGTTTTTTAAAATAATTTGACTATGAAGAAGTAGTTTTTTAAAATAATTTGACTATGAAGAAGTAGTTTTTTTAAATAATTTGACTATGAAGAAGTAGTTTTTTAAAATAATTTGACTATGTAGAAGTAGTTTTTAAAAATAATTTGACTATGAAGAAGTAGTTTTTTAAAAACCTGGCACTTCTTTTCTGCTTTGTTTCATGCCAGTAGTTTCAACAGTTGCACTGGGTGCTTTTGTAATGCTGCTTTGATTAGCTGCTTGCAACTGCATTGACTGGCTCTCACTAACCCCACTTAACTCTTTACTGAAATCAATGCATGTATTAGTTCCACTAACTTCAGAATCACCCTTTGAAGGTACCAAAGCCTGAATAATATACAAAATCATATGTTAGATTGTTCACAAAGATTTTGAGTTAATGTAAATAGTTCTTGATTATCACAGCCATGAAATATAAAAATGGTATTAGAAAATTTAAAACAACTATTAAATATTATAGAGATTTTTACTTTGTCAAACATAGACCCAAAGTTTTTGAGTTCTTCTATTTTCTTCCTAACAGCTGAACTGTCAATTAAATTAGCACTCTGACCAGAATCTGTTAGAGGAAAGAAAAAATAGTTTAAAATGAAAAGAATTATATTTTTTTTTCTATAAATAAATATTAATAAATGATACAACATAAATTTACTTGTAAAAACGATTTTTGTGTATTCCATTAAATACACTAAATATAAAGGTGAAAAAAAATGTTAAAACCCATAAATATGCGCTACTGGTAATAAAACTAAACAGAACCTGTTCTCTCCTTGATTAAATAAAAAGATCCCAAAGGTGGATCATCACATGATCCATCAGCAGTAATTTTATTTAAGTTGTCTTTTTTGGATTTTTCTTCATCATCAGAATTCTACAGTTAAAAAAATATGTAATTCATAGTACCTACATAAAAAATATGGGATGGCATGGACAAGAGGCGTAGCAAGGGCGGGGGTGCAGATCACACCGGGTGACAACATTTAGGAGGGTGATACCATGGCAAAAAAATGCAAAATGTACTGAAGAAAAATGCTTTTTGCCATTTTTTTAATAATTAATTAAAGTTAAATAGTCTTTTAAGTACAAAACGACAAATATTACAAGAGTGTGGTAGTGACACCATGACATAAGCCTACTAACTACAGAGAAACAATGTTACATCCAACTTTATTATTAACAAATTATAGATAAATATCGTTATTATTAAGTCTGCCATGATCAAAGCGTATGCACATACATGTACTCGTATGTGACATATATTTAAATTATAAGCCTATGTAGGCCGACACATTTGTATGCTAACCCGAAAGTCTCAAGTTCGGGGTTCCTGGCTAGAGTCATTGCAAGTCCATGAGTCCACCCAACTCTGGTGGGTAACTGACTTACATTAGGGAAAGTAAGGCGACTGGGCATTGTGCTGACCGAGGTCACAGAAACAGATGAACTCTATTTCATCTACCCCATGGGCCACATGGTTTTATAGGAAACTTCACTTACTTTACTAAATTACATTAAAAAATTGAAATAATAACTGCCCAAAACAAATATTCACGAGTCTAATGTCAGCTCCAACAAAAGCAAGATTCAGCTATAGCAGACTAAACCGTGAGGCTGCCTAACTTTAATGCTAGGCTTTAATTTTTATGGCCTGTGTTAAATTAAAGCTGATATACAAACAAAAATTAACTTCGTTAAATTATCTATATAAAAAGGTAAAAAAATGAAATTATGAAGACCAATAACAAGATAAATTAGAACAACTTACTGTAGAAGAGACAGATGACCGTGATGAGTCGGTACACAGGTCAGAGACTGGAGAAATTACGAGCCTGTCTGAGGATTTTGTACTTCCACTTTCACCCATTGGACTCAATGTTCTGATTGGTCCTAAAGGCGTTGCAAACAGCTGTTGAAAAATAACATTTTTAAAATGTGGCCATCACAACTTAATGATAAACATTCAAAAATTTATTTTTGTATAGATCTATCATTTATTTATTTATTTAGATATTTTAGAAGTCATTATTCTTAAATAAAGTTTATAGCTGGATCTCATGACATCTAGTGTATAAGAAATTTTCGAGAAAGTTTTCCCATAAAGGTGATTATTAAAGAAAGTAAAGAATCCTCTTTAGACCCAGCAATCCATTGGGCAAATGAGTAGAGTTCATGTTTCTTGACCTCGGCATAAGAAGGGGAGGTGTGGTCAGCAAGGGTAGGTGTGATCAGCACTTTGCCAAACCCCTTTTACTTTCCTTAACATGAATTAGGTACCCATCAGAGCAAGGTGGACTCAGGGATGTTCTACTGACGAACCCGGATTCGAACTCAAGACCTTTCAGTTAGCAGCCTAGCACTCTACCACTTAGGCCACGCCGTCCCATGTGTGATTATTTACTTTAATTTATTCACTTACAGGTGTTCCAGTTAGATGTGTGGTATTTCCTTTGGATTGCTCATTTTCTTGATTGGTTTTATCTGGTAGCAATTGTGCTGGGTTGACTGGTAACAAATGTGCTACGTTGCCAGGATGTAAGTGTGGCACATTGTTAGGAAATAAAGATGCCACATTGCTAGGAGGCATGGGTGTAAAATTGCCAGGTAAAAAAGGTACCACATTTGTAGGTGGCATACCATGCTGCTGATTACATAAAAAAGATAAATGTAATTGTTGACTCAATTGTAATTTTACATAAATGGCTTGAAAAGCGTGTAATAGATTGCATCAAAGAAAAATGTATATCAAAATTTGACTAAGTTGTAATTCCTATAATTTTTGGATGATTTTGACTATTCCCTTCCTTTTCTCACATATCCTCACTAACATGAGACCCCCCCCCCCTCCCCCTTCCTCTCCAAAAATTATGTCACACTTCAACCTACACTCCCCCACAACTGTCTATAGCAATTATTTAAATTTAAAAAAAATATATTTACTGAACTGAGTCAACAATACATACATTGATCTATTTTTATTGTACTTTACAAGTCTTCAAAATATGAAAGAAGAGCTGCTTAAAAATACTTTTTAAAATAAAAAATGTATGTCACAATTACCCTTCATCACAAAAGTCTGATCTATTCTCCCCCCCCACCCCTTTCAAAACTTGTGACCTAATTTATAGACTACCCCTAATCAAAATAAACCTGATGTTAAATATTAAACAATAATCATTCCATAAATATTAAAAGAGATAAAAAAATTTTAAACAAAAGGCTGCACTACATTTTATCACATCATAGTTTATTTTTCTGCCTAAATCACTGGAAGGGTTAGTGACCTGCTTAGTGATGAGGGTCTAGTGCTAGGGTCTGTGTTAGAGGGCTGAGGTAGTGATAGTAGCCAAACATAACACAGGTTATGTTTTGTAGATATTTTAAATTAGAACCAAACTTACTTGATGTAGGTGGGGGTTAAAATTCATTCCTGGCATTGGTGCTGGGACCATTTGCTGAGGCACAGCATTTAACATAGGTTTCTGGTTTATGATTGTCTGATTCCCTTGTAAAAATGGTGGAGTTGGACCCTGTGTATGATGTAAAAATTGCTATTCCAAAAATATTGTTTTCATTTCACAATCTTAACATTGAAACAAACTAAAGAGCCAAACTTGAGAATCTACTCTAATCATTATTTATTTTTTACAGATCTTAATGGATCAAAAACTTAATAGAACATTAATTCAATAAAACTGATTTAAAAAACTTACTCTCTGATACATAGTAGGAACTTGGTTAAATTGAGGTTGAATGTAGTTCATCATGTTAGGTGGAGGATTCAGTTGATGTAGAAACTGAAAATTCTGTTCAACTTTATTAGCAGTACTTGGTACATTCTCTGGTCCCTATTGGTAAAATTGCAAAGCTTTCTCATTTAATTATTGTAATAATATAAAAATGTATTCTCACCATTCTAGGGAATAAGCTACTATGATTACAGAAAATGAAAAGCAATTGAACCTACATTTATTAACCAATATATTTCATATTCCTAAATCTAGCTGTTTACTGATTGTTGTGAATGGTATTTCAGTGTACTGCATAGGTACAAGAGTATGTGTGTTGTAGAAGGATTTATATTAATAAAAGATTCTGAATGTGTGATGAGACACATAAGGATGTGATGTGAGAGAGTAGGATTTTGTTGTTTGGGGAAATAGTTTAGATCAGTCTTCATCATGTTGTGTTAGTGTGTAGATGTTCATGTTGTGTTAGTGTGTAGATGTTCATGTTGTGTTAGTGTGTAGATGTTCATGTTGTGTTAGTGTGTAGATGTTCATGTTGTGTTAGTGTGTAGATGTTCATGTTGTGTTAGTGTGTAGATGTTCATGTTGTGTTAGTGTGTAGATGTTCATGTTGTGTTAGTGTGTAGATGTTCATGTTGTGTTAGTGTGTAGATGTTCATGTTGTGTTAGTGTGTAGATGTATTCGTTTGTCATTGTGGAAATAGTTGTTTTGTTTGACAGTGCAATAAATGATTAAATGAATCAATGCTGTCCTGTCCTTGATGTAAATTGGATTGTAATTGTCTGTGGATCCCTGCTGTACAAGGTTGACCCCACCCTAAACTCGCATTCTAACACTGATTATGACACAAGGTTTTATAAATATTTTTGCAATGTCAAACATATAATGTGAACTATCCAAAACTAGTTTTTCATTTTAAATATTGTGCCTACAATTTTTGATATATTTGAGTCCTTATTCTTATGTAAAATAAGTATTCTCAAAACTATTACCACCCTTACTTTAGAAAACAATCCTAATTTATTTTTTATAAATTCCACTTGTTGTTCAAGGGAGGTTATCTTCATATCTTGTGTTTCAATTTTCTTTGCTTGTTTAACCACTTGATCATTGGAATTTCTAGATGTGTTTTCTGTCTGCTGCTCCAGGCGACTCACTCTCATACTTAGTTGTTTCTCTTTCTGGAGCCATTCCGACGTGTCTTTTTTAGTAACAGACAATGTTGGTTCAGGTAGGAGTGTATCTGAATTCTCAAAATCTAAGTACGGAGAAAACGTTATTCAATATTAGGGTTTATATAAATCATACTATACACTTAAAATTATAGATGTGAATAAAATGTATTGATACAATTTTAAATTAACCAAATTTGAAAAATATCTTTAAAATTCTTTTATACTTATACAATGGTGAGATCAAACAAATACATTAGAGGTTTTATGTGTAGTGTAGATTATATTTTATGTGACATTTTCGAAACAATATGTTTATGCCAAAATGCCTTTTCAAACATTCTAGGACAAAAATCAGAATTAATATTTGTGATAAAATTCTCTTACTTATAAAATTAATGCCAACGTTAAACAAAGCATTCCAAATGTATTCTAGTTGGGCATGTTTTGTTTTAAACTTTTCTGTATCCAGTTCTTCATAACCAGATGCTTCTTTAAGAATCTTCAAAAGATATTTAAAAATGGTTATGTTATTGTTAACTAATGTTAACCATTAGGTTATAAAAATACATTTTCTAGATCTCAAAAGAATTGCTTGATTTCCATTTTATATATATATATATATATATATATATATATATATATATATATATATATATATATATATATATATAATAGGCCTAATTAATAATAAGCCCCCTATTAATACTAATGTAATAACCTATTAGGCCTATTCATTATTTAATAAATTAGAATATCGATTTAATAATAATAGTACTAATAGAATACAAATATAATAGGTACTAAACTAAGACAGACCCCACCTTTTCTACAAAATTCTTGACGAAATTGTTGAGATCGTTTATTTCCGCTTCAATCATATCTGCTTTTGTTTTTAGCGTGGAAATCATCTTTTCTTTGTGCGCCATTGTCTAAATTTGTAAAAATTTCAATTCTTTAACTGTAATAAATTATATTCTACTAGATTCTAGTAGTAGATCTGGTAAGATAGATTAAGCCAGCATTATTATCATTATGATCAAGATCGTAATCGTATCGAATATCACTATCAGCTGTGCTAGTGTTCTGTTTAATTTTGAGTAGGCTGATTTTTTCTTAAGGCAATAAGATTTTAAATAAGCTAAAGACTATTCAAAATGTATACATCTATGCACTAAATTAATGCATATCATAGATAATAATATTAATGAGGCCTCTGCATAAATTATCATACGATGAAGATCTAGTAATTGGCATTTCAAAATAAAATTTAGAAAATAAAAAACTGGTGTAGCTACAAATTTGCTACAACTGGCAAATCTACACTTCCAGGAAAAGCTCTTTAATAATGGAGCCAGCGGAACGGTATTTCCCGTTTATCAATTTATTTTTTGATAAACGCAAAATAGGACTACAAAATAAATAAATAAAAATAATAAGCCTACAAAACACTTATGATCAAATTAAACGGCAGGTTTAATAGAAAAGCACTAGGCGAGCATTAACAAATTTTAAATTATGAGGAACTAATTTCTATTTTATATTTTATACATCATTAATACAAGGTTTCAAAATTAGGTGAAAAAACAACCACGAACAAGCGATATTTCAAGACTCAATAGTGCGTGGTGTTGTGATTGTGTACATGACATCAATGACACCATCCATCATCTATTTTTTACTTTCTCGTATATACGAAGTATAGAGAAAGTCTTGTAATCGTGCAAAAAAAAAAAAAATCGAGATTTTTGCAAATCTCGACGTTTTGCATCTCACTGATACGGAAAAACATAATTTTGCAATCTTGTCCGTATGTCTGTGTGTCTGTGTGTGTGTGTGTGTGTGTCCGTGTGTAAACACGATAACTTGAGTACCGTTACAGCTAGGTTGATGAAATTTCATATATAAGTATTTAATCAAAATCGTAGATCCGTATCAACTTTTGAGCGATTTCCGATAACCGGAAGTGGTACTTTTCCTACTTTGAATTTTTCAAAAGCCTATAACTTGAGTACTATTTCAGATAGATAAATGAAATTTCATACGTAAGTAAAAGATCTAATTCTCTACCTTCTATTAAATTTTGAGTCATTTCCGTTGACTGGGAGTAGTACTTTACGCTACTTCCGATTTCTCAAAAAACTAATGTAAATTTTAAAAGTAATAATAATATTGCGCACTATTATGCGCTTTTTTATTTCGCGTTCACTTGGTGTGCAATTAATTTGTCTACGAGATTTTATTCTATTTTTAAAACTTTAAGTATTTAAAATGGATTAAAAATCATGTCTATAGCCCGAGTTCCCATCCCCTGTTATTTTATATAAAAATATTCGAGAAAGTTTAGGGGAGATCACTCCCGGTTTATTAACTGTTAGCAGACAGCTATACTGTGGTTGTTAGTAACTGATACCGTACATGTGCAGAGTTTCTTCCAGGCATCTCTATTACCGCCCCCCCCCCCCCCCGAACGTAATGAAATTTATATAATTTATATAGAAAATATATACTTTTAACAGTGTCCCCCCCCCCCCCCCCGAAAATTTCAAGTGCCCCCCCCCCCCCCCCGGAGAAAAAAGTCTGGAAGAAACACTGTACATGTGTGTTGCACGTGTTTGATATTAAACAACAACAGACAGTGAGCGCTGGACCGAGAGTGCTGAGCACAGCAGTAGACAAAACACGATTTGATTGGTTGTAATGTTCATTGATGAAATCTCGAATGCTAACTAGAATTGTAAGAAAATATTCACTTGATAATTAATTAGTCTAATGATGTGTTAAAAATGTCGGCCTGAAATATTTTGGGGTAAACATGAAAAACAGAAGCCATAGCCGACATGATGGTGTGACAATATAGTTATAAATTTTATTTGAGCAATAACACGCAATAGAAACAGTTGTACAAAATATATGGATTCTTTAATTCTTGCTGTCGAGTTCAGAGTTTCTTCCAGGCATCTCTTCGGGTGGCTCTGCCCCTCCCCCCACCCCCCCCCCCCTCCCCGAAGAAAGTCTAACCCCCCCCCCCCCCCCCAACGAAATGGAATTTATATTAAAAAATATATACTTTTAACAGTGTCCGCACCCCCCTCCCTTAAGGAAATTTAATGGATGACTGGTGGTCTGGTTGTGGTCTAATGGATGGCGAGGCGGGATAGTGGTCTAGCTGTTTGTTGGTTGTCAGCTACTTAGCCGGTGGTTGTTTGGAATCAGGGCTTGTTGTTTATTGATTATGCTTGTTGTCGGATAATTTTTTGACTGGCTTACTGGTGTCCGTAATTTTGTGACGGTGTGTATGAGGGGGGGGGGGTGGCTTGCATTATAAAGAAAAAAATGTTAGAAAACGAATTTTAGCCGTTATTTCGCGTTTTAGAAAAAGTTTTAATAAACTGTAATAGGAATTGATTAAAATACTCTACCGACCACGCCTCCAAGTTAGCGAGTAATATTAATCTAGGGCCTAATTATTTTTGAATGTATTATTGTTGTTAGTTAAATTAGTGTACTAATATATAGATATACACTGTATATTATTATACAGGATCATATTTTCATTTTTTAAGAAAAACTAATTTAATATTTTAAAAGCGTGGAGTCTTTATTTATCGTATGTAAATTAAAATAAACGCAATGTTTTCTTATATCCGATTTAATCTTCCGTAAAGTCTTGTAGCCTACATTAAAAAAGTTAAAATGTTAATGTTTTTAAAAGATATTTTCTAAGTACATTTTAGAACAAAATTGTTATGATGGTTGTCATTGTAACTAATTGCAGGCATGAGAAAGATAAGATTAGAGTTACGGAACATCCATCAGGTGTTGCAATAATAGTTATTAACAAAAGCATTTCACTGTTATATTTCTATTTTATTTTATTCCTATTTTATTAATCTTTTTTAAAATCAATATGCAACATGCATTTTAAACACTGATAACAATTAAATTTATATTTACAAATTCATGAGCTAACTTTTTATATTACTCTACCGATTTAATAATATTTATGTCACCTAAAATTAACAAATCGGATTTTCCCAGTATGTTTTGTCATCTTTTTTTCATTTTCGATTTCACCAAAGCTGAAAAGATATCAGAACTATCAATTTTTAGCTGATTTAATATAAAATGGAGTATCAAGACCACCTTGTAAATCTCCTAAAACATAAGCTTGAAACTATTGATACGGAACATTCCATTTTTCATAGAGTACTGGATGCTGTTGTAAAAAAGGCAAGTATTGAGTATTCAGTTAAGTTAAAACTATAAAACAATTTCCTTTTTTAAATCTTTGTTCTTATATTCTGCCTATAATCTACAATCTACATACATTCATTAATAGTGGGGTTTTTTTTTCTCTTAATATTAAATTCTATTTTGAAAACATTATAGATTCTTTCTAGTGTGCTTTGTTTTAATGCAATACTCAATACAATAAAACGTGAAAATAAACGCAAAAAGGTTACGGTCGGAAATACTGTGACTACTGTACTAAAGTCTAATCTCAGATCTAATGATGGTGATGGCTAAATGGCACCACCTGAATAAAGTAGTATTTATATAGAAAATATACTTTTACCAGTGTCCACCCACCCAGAAAATTTAATCCGCCCCCCTCCTCCCCAACTAAAAAAAATTTCAAGCCCCCCCCCCCCCCCATTCCGGAAAAAAAGTCTGAAAGAAACACTGGTAATGGTTAAATGGCAGTTGCAGCTATCCAATAGTTATGCTTACTAGAAACACTGCAGAACAAATTGTCCTGTCAGTATACCCTGGACATAATCCCACTCCCTTGGTGATCTTCGACAAAAGCAAATTGAACACACCCACACCCTCTTGTCCAATCTTTATATATAGACAAAATTTAGGGTGGTTGTCCAAGTGACTTTTATACAGAGTTTTTCCTGGGATCCCAGCTAACGCTCTGCTCAAATGTAAAAATAAAAATATCATAATACTTGAAACTTTAATCTGCTTTAGGTAACCGATGATGTGAAAGCTGTCATCAAAATTGGGGAAATCAGTTATGGAAAATACAAGGAACTGAGCTCTTCCATGGAACAAGTGCTCAACCTCTTGATTCAGTTTAGTATAGAAATACAAAGTTAGTAGAGGGGGGGGGGGGGCGTTGAAATATGAGGTTTTAAATTTTTGACAATAAGTACAAACACTTTATCCATCTTTAGACAATGAAGCAAAAGATCACAACTCAAACTGATTAATTGTGACAGCATAGTTTCAAATTTTATTCAAAATTTGGGTAAAGAAATTCCTATTTTGTTAAAAATAAAAAATTGTAGTATCCTCATACCCTTCGTCACACATCGTCACTATAATAGATTAGGAATACACAACGGAGACAGAAGCCATCAGCATGTAGCCATCTTTTTTTGGTAAACGGAAGAGGAACAATGATAGATAAATACAAGGGACATCACTCAATAACAACATTATAAATATAACTAATACAAGAAGAGTGAGTTCCCCTGACCTCACAAATCCCAATATGTTACATCACTTTACCCTTAGTAAACACAACACATCTCTCAATAGAACAATTTACAGTATCCTAAAATCACCAATTATATTGTAACATGAACACTATGGTAGATTACATCCTTACAAACAATGCAAAATATGTTACAACATAATTAAAATACAACACCATGATGTCAAAGTCCTTTTGACCTTTAAAATCATAGGTCTAACTTATTTGGGACTTTGATTGTCCTGTTTGACCTTCTCAGTGGCTTTTGATTTGGTGACTCAAGATTCTGACCATATGGATTCTCTATCTCAGGAGGTCTAGGATTTAAATCATTAACTCCAGAATTTACATTTTCTGACTCTAGACAACTTGGTTCACTCATATCAACAGAACTTGGTTGTGGAACAAACTGAGTTGGTGTGAACTGTTCAGATTTGGTGGGATTGACAGATTCACACTTATTATCTGCACAAGTTATTTTTAACTGGTCTGCATGTCTACGGACAATAAGTCCATCATTTGTTTTTACTTTATAAGACACAGGTCCTGTACATTGAACAATTTGACCTGGTATCCATTTTTCCTTTCTCCCATAATTTCTTAGATACACATTGTCATTAACACCAAATTCTCTTTCAATGAATGTTTTGTCTATTTTTGAATTGGCATCTGAAAGTATTATGCTGTTATTCAGATCCTTGACTGACATAAATTTCTTTGATTGATCAATTTCCTCAGGTAATCTGATAGTGCTTTCCTGGTAACCAAAAATACTGTTTAAAAGTAATATCCTGGACCATATCACTTTGCAACTGTGATCCAGTATTTGAAGTGGGTGTATTAAATGGCAAAAATCTTTTTTCTTTTCTTTTGATGTTACCCTTTTAGTTTCTGTAAGTGCTAATGATGTTAGCAAAGTTGTTTGATGATCACATTCCTTCTTACTAATGTATTCTCTTTAAAAGCATTTGAAATTGCCATATCACCATAATCATTTATTAAGTTACAAATACTTTGTTTAGGCAACTCTGACTGATAATGGACTGCATCTTCTCCATCTTTTATATTATCTTCACAAAGGTTTTTATTTCTTATTTTACATGGCCTTAAGTCCTCATTCACTGACTCTTCAGGCCAACCATTCTTACAGTACTCATATACTTTTATTAAGCACTCATCTTTTTGTGTTTCTCTTTTAATATCATTCACATTTATATTGGAGTTATCCATGATAGTGAAGAGAACAAATACATCTTCTGGTACATAATTAAGGCTTTGGTTTTTTAAAGGTAATCTACTAAGACTATCTGCACTATTCTCAGATCCAGGTTTGTATTTCAATTCATAATTGTATGCAGTTAGTGTGATAGCCCATCTTAGAATTCTTGGTGAGGCATGCTCAGGTAGGGTTTTGTTTTCTCCAAATAAACCTAGCAATGGTTTATGATCTGTAAAGATGGTGAACTTCCTACCAAACAGAAACTTATGAAATTTCTTAACACCAAAAATGATGCCTAAGCCTTCCCTATCTAACTGAGAATAATTTTTCTCAGCCTGGTTCAAAGATCTACTGGCAAAAGCAATGGGTCTGTCGCCCTTCTCATCCATGTGGGACAAGACTGCTCCTACACCATCTGGTGAAGCATCACATGTTAGTATAAGTCTTTTCCCTGGGTCATAGTGAGTTAGTAAGGTGTCAGCAGACAAAGCCTCTTTTGCTGTATTAAAAGCAGTATCTTGTTGTTTACCCCAGTGCCAAGTTGCATTTTTCTGTAGCAGCTTGTACAGTGGTGATAGTTTACCAGACAGATTCCCTATGAACTTTGCATAGTAATTTATCAAGCCCAAAAAAGCTCTTAGTTGTTGGGTATTTTCAGGTTTGGGTGCTTCTTTAATGGCTTTTGTTTTCTCAGGTTGAGGTCTGAGACCTTGCTTGCTTAATATATAACCAAGAAAACTAATTTCTGTCAGCATGAATTGACATTTATCTTTGTTTATCTTTAAACCTTTTTCACCAACTATTTTCAAGACTTTATCAAGTGTTTTAAGATGTTCAGTGTCATTCTTACCAGTTATGTACACATTGTCAAAGTACACACAAACATTTGGAATATCCTTAAAAATACTGTCCATGACAGCTTGGAAAATTCCAGGGCTGGATGATATGTCAAAACATAGTCTTTCATATTGGTAGAGTCCTTTATGTGTGTTTATTGTCGTATAGACTTTTGAATCTGGATGCAGTTCTAGTTGAGTGTAAGCATGACTAAAGTCTAATTCAGTGAATTTGTCTCCTCCTGCCAAATTCAAAGAAATTTCCTCAATGTTAGGTATAGGGTACCTATTTAGCTCTATTTGCTTATTCAGTGTAGTTTTATAGTCTCCACAAATTCTTATAGAACCATCCTTCTTTAACACTGGCACAATGGGCGTTGCCCAATCGGAATAGTCTACCTTCTTTATGATGCCATTAGATTCCAATCTACTTAGCTCATTTTCAATTTTATTCCTCATTGCATAAGGTGGAACTCTAGCTTTGCAGTATCTTGGATTTGTGTCTTTAATGCTTATCTTCACTGTTCTATCATTTAGTAATCCTGAATTGCCAAAAACACTTTTATTTTCAGATATTACTTTATCTATTGAAGTAAGACTAGATTCTCTTGTATTGTTCAATGAACATATACTCTCCCAATTTAACTTAAGATTACTTAACCAGTTCCTACCTAGTAATGGTGGTCCATTTCCTTCAACCACAAGAAGAGGAAGTTTAACACTTTGACCATTATAACTTACATGAACCATACACTCTCCTATTACCGGAACATTGTCACCAGTGTATGTTGTTAGACACTTGTGACATGGTTGTAGAGGCACTGATCCTCCTGTGACAGCGTCAAAATCTTTCTTTGTGATGACTGTTAGAGATGCTCCAGTGTCAAGTTGGAAGCTGATGCTCTTACCGTTGATATTAACTGGTACATTGATCGGAGCATGACTTATTGATTTCACAGAGAACAGGTTGAAATCCGGCTGCGAATCAGTTTGAGCATTTTCACAGGTAGAGTGGTTCATTGGTTGGGTTAGGTAGTCTTGGTGAGAGTTAACATAGTGCTGCCTTTGGTTGCGGTACTGTCTTGACTGGCTAGATTTAGCAACAGACGAAGACTTTGCAAAGCAGGCCTTGGCAATGTGACCTTGCCTACTGCACTTATAACAAGTTGCAGACTTGAACTTGCATCGATGAGATGCATGGGGACCTTTGCATCGATGACATTTTTGATAATTATTACTAGATTTAGATCTAGGATTTGAACGTGCAGGCTGTTTAGCATAAGTTGAAATGCTCTGATGGGGTTGGTGTTTGTTGACTAACCTGCTGTTTACTGCATGGATCTCTGAAGGTGCTAGAGATCTCGCCGCATCTGATGACTGCTGGAATGAAGTTGCAAGTTGTATTGCTTTTTCTAATGTTAGATCTGACTCGAGCAGCAACTTTCTTTGAACATCAGGGCTGTTTACACCTGTCACAAACTTTTCACATAGTCTGTCAGACAGCGTGTAGCCGAATTCACAAAATCTACTTAAATGACGTAAAGCAGCAACATATTCTGATATTGACTCGTTTGGTTGACGAGTCCTACTGTCAAATCTAGCTCGACATAGAAACGTTGATGGGGTAGGCGCATGGTGGTCTGTTAGCAATTTGCTCAGCTCGTTAAAGCTCTTGGTAGTTAGACTAGCTGGTGCGCATAAGTCCTTTAGTAGCCTAAATTGTTGAGACCCTATGACTGTTAACAAAACAGCTCTCTTTTTGGCTTCTATCGTCACGTCGTTTGCTTCAAGGTAAAAACTTAACCTATCTAGATAATCCTGAATGGTTTCATCATTCGAATCAAATTCTTTTATTTGGCCATACAGCGCCATTATTCTAGAAATACTTAGCCAATATGCTCTAGGAAACCTCTTTTTTGCGTAAGTAGGTGCTCTTTCTAGTGGATTATTTATCCTCGTCGCCAGATATAATAGATTAGGAATACACAACGGAGACAGAAGCCATCAGCATGTAGCCATCTTTTTTTGGTAAACGGAAGAGGAACAATGATAGATAAATACAAGGGACATCACTCAATAACAACATTATAAATATAACTAATACAAGAAGAGTGAGTTCCCCTGACCTCACAAATCCCAATATGTTACAGTCACCAAAGTCCAACCTCAATTCTCCATTCAAGGTGTGTAATTTAATTTAGGAATGTGCCATAAGCATATACAAAATGTTTGTACTTAAAGCTTCTAGAGTGACTTAGGTAAGTATAATCAATAAACATCCACATGTACATATTGTAATAATGTAACCATTTACGTTGACATCTAGGATGCTTTTTTAAAATTACAATAATAAATGTTTTTTTTATATATCTAGGTGAAAAGTTCACGAGACTTAGTGAATTAGAAAATCAAAACGATCAGCTAAAGATGCATTTTTCAGAACTATCAGATAAATATGAAGGAATGCATAATTACCAAGTTGACAAATCTGAAACGATGAAAAAATCAGAATACAAAATCGGTACTGAAGTTCAAGAGCCCCAAAGAGAAATTACGATAAGAGAATTAGCAAGTGAAGAACTTGAACAGCTAAAATCAAAGCTTGACAGTAATATACAAAAAGTAGACATTACAGCATTTCCAAACAGTAAGGAGCAATTTACAAAACAATTAATGCAGTCTCAACCACCACCACCAAGAAATGACAATGCTCAACCAAACAGCAGACGTGGAAGTAGACGTAAGATAAATCACTATTGTCTAATTGTTTTAAAACTCTTGAATTTGGTTTTTATATTTCGTTTTATGAAATACTTTTATTATAAACATGTCCTGATGTAGCATTTTTTTTATTAATAGAACGTCAAGAAGAGATGAGACTGCCTCTTGATGATGGATGGAACACAGTAGCATCAAAATCTTTAAGAATAGATGCCAGCAAGATGAGACTTTCCAAGGTACAACATGCACTTCCACCATTAGTTTTTATGTTTTAATGAGTTTTACTCCAAATTTGTATATATTTTTGTTTTAAATTTTAGAATGTTGTTGATGAGAATAGTATTCAGCTTGGTCCTGGTGGCGGAACCAATAAATTCTCTATGTGGAGTAGAGGTAGTTATGGTGGTGCTCAACCATCAACAGATGATAGACCAGCTCCTGCAACTAATCGGTAAGTTATATTTGATGCTTATGGTTTAAAAGGATAGTATTAATGAACCACTGTTGATTACAGAACTTTATTTCTATCCTCATTTTTATATATTTTAATGACAGGATTAACAATTGACAAAAGTTAATTCATATTCATAAACAAATTTTAAAACTAATTTACAATTAAATTTTTAGATTTTCATTACTACGTGGCGAGGAAGACCGCAGAAACTTTCAGAGATCTCCTTCTCGTGGTGATAGTGTTTCTAAAAGTACCATTATAGGTGGAAAGATTGTTGAAATGTAGTTGAAAATGTTGGATATATAGTTATATAGCAATGACTATTTTCCTGACATCTACATGTAATAAAGTGAATTAAGTTATTTCTTCAATGTTTTAGCGCAATTTCCATACTGACAATTGCGATTATTAATTCGTTATTTCTGGATGGACGGATGGATGGATGGATGGATGGATGTGTCCGCAGCTTTAAGTCGTATCTCCTCCTCAACGAAGCAATATCGAGGACTAGTTCCAAAAGCAAATATGTTAAGCAAGTTCCGAGGATGATTGTAGGCCAAAAAAATTCCCGTAATTCCTTCCTGGATTTCCCGGAAAAGCCAAAAAACCTCGAAAAAATGCAGTTTTTTGCCCATATCTCGGCAACCAGACCACTTAGCGACTTGAAACATTTACCAATCGATTCCTGTCATAATTTAGAACAATATTGCCGAAGAAAGTTTTCAAAAATATCCTTTCGTTCGGTCACAAAAAATTAATTAAGGAAATTGCGCTTAAATTGTCACTAGACTTTTTATTAACTTGTTTTATTAGACGTACCCTCTTTATGTTTAGGCTTGTGTCAGTGAACTTGTTAGAAGATTCATTGTGAGACTAGTCATCAGCTACTAAGTTAAACTTTGAGCAGACTCTGTGACAGCATTGCTAGTGTTTCTTTCAGACTTTTTTTTCGAGGGGGAGGGGAAGGGAGAAGGGCTCTTGAAATTTTCGGGGGGGGGGGGGGGGGAGATGCTTGAAAGAAACTCTGGATTCAACACACACCTCAGAAATACCTATTTAATTCGTAACATTTCCTTGTCATGTTAACACATATAATCCTAATCTCATTATATCCTTAAATTAAACTTAAAGGGTATTTTATGAAGTAATTAAAACAATTCCAAATCAATTGTTTTTTTACAAAGCAATTTTAATAATTCAGTAAATAACTGAACACACATAATAAAAAATGTGACTATTAAAATGTATATAAATGTAGAAAATAGGTTTTCAAACAAAATCATTGGCGTAAAAATGCATTCACTTCACACTTGCCTTTCGATCACTTAAAAAACTGCACGCTGTAAATAAAATGCTTCTGTAAAATGTACTGATCATTTTTTTTATATGAAATTTTCAAAAATGCGGGAACTTCTCGGCCTACAGCAGTTAGTGTGTGAACTAGTGAGACTACAATGTACCATTGCACTAGAGTTGCTGTAAGACATCTAGACTAATTTGATGGCGTTAATGTGGTTAAATGTAAAGGTGAATTCTAGTGTTAAGTAATGAAAATGATACATAGGCCTACACTATACACTGCACAGCGTGGAGATAATGACGAGAGAGTTTAGGCATTTATTTTCAAGACATCTCGACGATAATTTTAGTCCGAATCTTTGTGATCGACCAGGAGTTTTCCTAAAGAAAAAAAAGTGTATGATATAGACAATATAGCCTAACGAAACGCTACAAAACAAAAAGAAAAAAAAATTATGATATAAGGAATATAGCCTAGCCTACTTATCGAAACTTTACAAAAAAAAAAGAAGAAAAAATATATGATATGAACAATATAGCTAGACTACTTATCGAAACTACAAAACAAAAAGAAAAAAAAATTATATAAACAATATAGCCTAGCCTACTTATCGAGACTTTAGAATATAAAAAACGACCATAACCCTAATCATGACCCTGACCGTATTAGTTATCGAATGGTCATTTTTTAAACCGTATAGATTATGAGTAGGTTATAGCTAATTCTTTGCACAATGTTACGTCTTTATGTATTAAACAACATACATTGCAGACAAACATCAATATATCTGATATTTGAAAGAATACGTGTTTGACTTATTAGACCATTTTAAAATATATTCGGTAATGAGAATAATCGTAAATTTTAAAAAAAAATTGGTTTTAATTACGGCAGTGTTATCGACAAAACAAATCTTTAACTATAAACTGTGTTATATATTTACCTTGTAGTCAAAAGCAGCAAGAATTAGATATTTTTGCATGTCTTTATATCATTAAGATCTAAACTCAATTTTTAAACGCATAGCCATCTGAAATCAAAGAAATAAAAGAAACGTACCCGAGGCTGATATTGGGCGGATGTTGAAAAAAGATTCAGGGAATTGAACCCTTGGGCTCCCAGACCTTCTCTTTGCGTTGATGGGCTGTGGATTCAAAATTCATTCCTCTTTTATGTAAACATTTGCAAGCTCGAGTGAGTAGGTTTTGACAAACAGTGTGTGTGAGTAAGTAGGTTGTGACAGTGTGTGAGTAGGTTGTGACAAACAGTGTGTGTGTGGGTGAGTAGGTTGTGACAAACAGTGTGTGTAAGTGAGTAGGTTGCGACAAACAGTGTGTGTGAGTAAGTAGGTTGTGACAGTGTGTGAGTAGGTTTTGACAAACAGTGTGTGTGAGTGAGTAGTTTTTGACAAACAGTGTGTGTGAGTGAGTAGGTTTTGACAAACAGTGTGTGTGTGAGTGAGTAGGTTTTGACAAACAGTGTGTGTGAGTGAGTAGTTTTTGACAAACAGTGTGTGTGAGTGAGTAGGTTGTGACAAACAGTGTGTGTGTGGGTGAGTAGGTTGTGACAAACAGTGTGTGTGAGTGAGTAGGTTTTGACAAACAATGCGTGTGAGTGAGTAGGTTTTGACAAACAGTGTGTGTGTGGGTGAGTAGGTTTTGACAAACAATGCGTGTGAGTGAGTAGGTTTTGACAAACAATGCGTGTGAGTGAGTAGGTTTTGACAAACAGTGTGTGTGTGGGTGAGTAGGTTGCGACAAACAATGCGTGTGAGTGAGTAGGTTTTGACAAACAATGCGTGTGAGTGAGTAGGATTTGACAGTGTGTGTGAGTTAGTAGGTTGTGACAGTGTGTGAGTAGGTTGTGACAAACAGTGTGTGTGTGGGTGAGTAGGTTGCGACAAACAGTGTGTGTGAGTGAGTAGGATTTGACAGTGTGTTTGAGTTAGTAGGTTGTGACAAACATAGGTAATGGATTCGGGGGGGGGGGGGGGGGGGGGCGAGACTCTAGCAAATGCCCTAATACAAAAAGTAACATCTCAAGGCTGGGGTTTATGTTATCTTTAAATTAAACTCTTTTTTACAGAAAAATGTTGTGGGTGGGGATATCAGGGTTACGTAATTATATCAACTTTTTAATAGTGTAAAACTATCTCCATGTTTTGAACGACCCATTACCATACTATACCAAACTTTCACAAGACTTTTAATTTTGAAGCAGACGATACATGTTTGATTGCTGCCATGAGCTGCTCAGACATTTTTACTCACCTTTTCAAACACAATCTCCAGACTTGGCAGTCCCGCAGGTTTTATCAGCGATACTGGGCAGTGGCTCAATTGTAAGAGAGTTTCTCTGTCGTAGACACGTCTTAGTGGCTTTGCTGTAGAGCAGAGATGGTCGAGTTGAGTGGTTTAGCAGTGTGTGTAGGATTATACGTTAGAAACATAAGCGGATCCAAAAAGTGCAACTCTCCCTCCATATCAAAGTGTAATATTATATAATTTTACACAGACACAGATTCATAAACACAGACACACACGCATATATATATATATATATATATATATATATATATATATATATATATATATATATATATATATATATATATATATATATATATACTAGCCGTCCCGGCCAGGCCCTGCACTGGCATCTCTGAAAAACGTATCTGTAAAGGTAAAGGACCATAACTTGTGTGTTTAGTAATCAGCATATACCCGGCATTGCTCACCCTAACCACAACCAACCAAAACACACAACAACCGCAAACATAATACAAACACAAACGAAAACACAAAATCAATAGAATGTTTAACTGTTGAATGATTGACTGACCTTTAGGTTTATTACTTTGCTGCGGCTTGGGATACAGTTTTGGATATTTATCTCTCAAAGTTTGGGTAGAATATACAACGCCAGTTATAGGTGCAGGGGTTGGAACGTATTGAGGTGGTGGGGTGTAGCCTGGTGGGGGATACTGGAAGTTTGGTCTGTCTGTGTCTCGTGTGGGATTGACACGTGACGACCTGGTCGGTGGTGGAGTAGAGTGAATTAATGTCGGAGGAGGGACATTTACATTTGTGAAGAGTTGATTGGTTTCGTTTAGGGGACTGCTGTATCTGTATGGAGATGGAGTCCGCTGGGACTTAAGCTGAGGACTTTGCTGCATGACTCCGTTTGTTGGGTCTACCGTTTTCAGAATTGTTTTGTTGAGTTGATGGCTGCCGACGCTTGCCTGGAATATATTTAATAATTTTATTTCATTCTTTTATTTTACAATAGTTTACATTATGTTGTTAAAATGTTTAAAATATTTCAATCATAATACTATTTTAAAGCTTGCTTGCTTACATTAGGTTCCATCTCTTTGAATCCTTGTGTTGGTTTTAGGGTCTCAGCTGTCTCTTTTACAACATTGGTACCATCATGACCACGTAGTTTAAAAACGCCACGATCTGGAGCTAGGATTGGCCCTTCCGCGTTAAACCTAGGTACGTGCATGTCTGATTTCACGGACATTTTGTTGACCTTGTCTTCTAAAGTCTCCACTTTGTCGCTGATCATTTTCAGATTTTTAGCATCAAACTCACATTTTTCTGATAATTTGGACACACGGACATCCGTATCATTAGATTTATGTTCCAGTCGCCCTACTTTTACAGCGTGATCATTCAACTTTTCAATCTGTTCTTTCATTAACCTTTTAATATCCTTCTCGTTTTGAGTTTTAAGTTCTGAAAGTTGTAATGCGATTTCTCTGGATTTCTTCGTAAACTCGTCATTTACTTTCTTTTCCTTTTCAGTAAAAGAAAAGTTGTGTATATTCCATTTTTCTTGAAGACTTTGCAACCCATCAGATATATCAGTAATTTTTTTCGTTAATGATTCGTTTTCTCTTTTAAGTTGAACCTTATCATTGTTCTGTTGCTCTAAACATTTCGTCGTTATATTAAACAATTTCTGAAAACTACCCTCCGCTTTTACTTCTAGGTTATCAAAATGAGTTGACAGTTCTTTATTCTTCTGGGACCATTCGTCTGAATTTCGTTGGAATTTTTCTTCAAATTCTTTTCTCTGGTTGGAGAGCATCAACTTCATTTCCTTGTCTTTCTTCGCTAGTTCAGATGACAAGCGGCTGTACACAGTCTCAACAATATCGTCAGTATTAACTGCGGTCTCGTTATCTATTGGCTCTAAAAAAAAAGTGTTCAAGTCAGTGATAAAAAGGTCATACAAATAAACTTACATTTAAACAATATTAAATAAAGTCCCTAAGTTATTTTTATTAGCTCATCGCTGCAAATTACGTAAAACAAAAGGCAGATTTTAAAAAATACATTATACAATACATTAATGTCACAAACACCAATGCGCTTTCATTTTATCTATTTAAAAAAAAATGTTTGGTTCAACTTCAGGTTGACTGACTAAGGATATGAAATAAACTACAAGCTCAACTGAACTGACTAACTCTGTATCTCTGCACTAAGCTGAATCAGGAGGTTTAGCACATGTTCCATGGAAGAACTCAGTTCCTTGTATTTCCCGTAAGTGACTTCCCCTAGTTTGATGGCAACATTCACGTCAGTGGTAACCTGTTGATTAAAACATGAGACATCTCATACACACCGTGAAACTGCCAAACCGTGAAACTGTGCCACACCGTGAAACTGTGCCACACCGTGAAACTGTGCCACACCGTGAAACTGTGCCACACCGTGAAACTGTAACACACCGTGAAACTGTGCCACACGTGAAACTGTGCCACACCGTGAAACTGCCACACCGTGAAACTGTGCCACACCGTGAAACTGCCACACCGTGAAACTGTGCCACATCGTGAAACTGTGCCACACCGTGAAACAGTGCCGGATCTAAATGACGGTCAAAGAACGAATGTTTCTCCAGCGGGCTAAGCGTGTCCAAAACAATAGGGCTGGTAAGTAGGTCACCAACCAGTTCTACGGCTCAATAAAACCTGCTTGAGCCATAGAACCATATTATCTGCTGAGAGCTGCTGAATCGGTTGTTTTTTTTTAAATACGGAGATAAAAGAGGGGTCATCCATAAAGTACGTCACGCTTTTTTGACGATTTTTACCTCCCCCCTCCCCTCCGTCACACATCGTCACAAAAAGCCAGACCCCCACCCTAAAATGACGTCACACCTCAGTCTACAACCCCCCCCCCCCCCTCCTCAAAATGGCTATTGAATTTTTCTTATAACGTAAAAGTGTGACGTCACACCACCTGAACCCACCCCACCTCCACCTCATCACACACCGTCACAAAATTAGGACCTTCCTCCCCCTACAAGTGTGACGTCATTTATGGACGACCCCTTAGGGCTATAATCTAATCTTTCGTCAAAAGTGTGCACAAAGCGGTTGAATTTCTGCTTTCTCCAAACGGAAACTCAAATAGATTTTTTTGTACTCGACGTTATTGTGGATACTATGTGCCTGGAACTGACAGGATTTACAGCATTTATAAGGCACTAACCCAAAGTTATTTACCCATTGGTCAACAAGGCGTTGTAAACGTAAATATAGACTAGAAAAAAATATATATCAATGTCTCTATAGGGCTGGTAAGTAGGTGACCTACTTACCAGCCCTATTATGTCTTGCAGTTAGTTAAATAAATAAGAAAAATATACTGGCTAAATATTAGAAGTGTTATTTTTGTGTTTAGCACTCATATCTTAGGTTTTATGGTTAGTTGTTTCTTATTTGTGAATGATTTTAGTATATATCGCTCTAGCTTAGGTAAATTGTTGACTAATAGAAAAATACATAGAATAAATTAAAGAAGAATGTTGCTGTACAAAGTTTAATTTAGAATTGTTTCATCCTTTCTAAAGAATCTTACTTAATAGTTTGATATATTTTTTATATATCATCTTACTCTCAAAATGGAACATCTAGTCAATTTACTTATGGGTATTATCAAATAGTTTACCCTAGAAACAAAATCGCCAAGAGCTTTCTGGAAAAACGAATGTTCCTTGTCGATGGCATCTCGTTTATTTCTTAAATGATACAAAAGGTTGTCCGTGTTGGCCATTTTGGTTTTTGGTACATTCGTTTCTCAGAACTAGCATTCAGACCAGTTCTGTTTATTATTGTGTTAAGACAGTGTCAGATCAGTGCGGGAAAACCCGTTTCTGTTACACTTTGTTATAAAGCTAAATTAATGTGTAAAATCTAATTACAAAATAAATCCAAAAAATTATATTCAAACTAATAAGCTAATGTAATTATTCACTCTACAATTTGATTAGTTTTGAAGTGCTTTAGTTTTAATATAATAGGAAAAACAGCAGCCTTGACCATGATAACGTAACTAGGTTACACATATCAACAAAAGCCACTTTCGTTTTCTGGATTATTGATCCTAGGATTTTTTTTTAAAATTGGTTTGATATTAAAATGTAATTTTATCATATACAACAACTAAGATATTAAATATGTAATATTTTGCAATTATTAATTTAATTAAGCTTTTATGTATGTTCGATAAAACGAAAAATCTATTTTTTGAATAGCGTATATTATTTATAATAATACTAGCCATCTGCTCTATATTTGAAATAATATAAGTATGCTATATAAACCCTATTGAATATATATATATATATATATATATATATATATATATATATATATATATATATATATATATATATATATATATATATAAAATATCAAACTTAGTAACTACTTTTGTATTTCTATTTATTACGTATTAAATATATATTTATGATTCAATGAATGCCTTTCTTTCATTTTCCCGAAATGATTGGGCGATATTCTTGTTTCTTTCAGCAGCTGTGGGACTACCAACACATTCCCGTTATAGCCTCACACAAGATAAAAGGGACCAGTAAGTTGTCCAGGTGTAATTTAAATGAATGGCTTATACAGATAATCTCATCAGTTATTTGACAACTAAACTTGATCTTATCGATAAGGAGCGGTCGCTTTTTCAAAAAAATCTGGAGGATGTTGTAACTAAGGCAAGTTTTAAAAATATTATAATAATTTCATAAACGGAAAATCATAATTTATTGGTCGATGTGAAGGCTTATTTTTAAGGCGATGATTAGAAAAAGACTTTGGATGCTTGTTAAATGGGATCGTCTTGTTTTGGTTTATTAAATATAATATTATTAACCCATGTTTTATTTTATTGTTTATGATTGCATTATTTAAATAAATTATATCTGCATCGAAATATCTTCAAACTACTTCAATATAAACGTTAAGATCTGTGTTTATTTTCTGATTCTCAGAAAATTCTAGCAGCCTACAATGGTCCAAAAGTAAATGTTAGACTAAAAGTAAAGATACCCTTACGAGGCAGGTAAAATAGGGTTATTCTGTTACAGTGACATCGGGACATAATTATAGGGATAATGTGGTCAGTACTACGCCAACACGAGTTTACTTTCCCTATCGTAATTTCGGTGCCCTTAAGACCTGAGTGGACTCAGGGAGTACTAAATACTCGTGTCCTTCTCCAAATTTGAGACTTTCTGGTAGGCAGATTTACTTATTTTTTCAAATTTGTAAAACATTCAAGACATCAATTTAACGCTATCAAAAAGGAACGTTTCTTTTGTAACAGAGAACTAGACAATACTTTTACAGAGGTTGAATTTCTAACGGTTTCTGTCACTTTGTTTTCACCGAAATTCCCCCGGACACTCGTTTCTTCTTTCAATATAAAGTTTAAAATTTTTTTAGTATTATTTTTTTTTGGATAGCTTTTGCAACGTTTACAATGTTTTAATCAATTTTCAGGAAGTCCGTAACAACTGAACGTAAAAGATAGTTAAAGCAAACTTCGCTTAATCTTTATATTTAAAAAGTTTTCTTTTTTTAAAAACATATGGATATCGATTAAGATTGGAATACATTGATTGGATGCGAGGTTCATCTAAAATATTAGTTTCAAACGTTGGTTTAGGGATTAATTTAGCAAATGTTAAAAATATACATTATATATATATATATATATATATATATATATATATATATATATATATATATATATATATATATATATATATATATATATTTATATAGGCTGCCTCACAAATTTTGAAAATAAACAGTTTCCCTAATTTAGTAATTTAACCTATTCATTGCAGAGTATATCCAAGTAACCAAACAGAAATAGGCTCAAAATAATTTTTGGCTAATATATCCCTGTTAAAATGTAATAACACTTTGTTAACATGCTGTGTTCATTATAGTGTGTTGTATTTTAATGAATATAATTCTTCCGTAAAATAAAAAGCATACTGTTGGAAAGAAAATAACAAAATGTTTCATTAAACTCAAAATTCCAATGCTAAATGTAATGATACTAATAGCTATATGGCAGTTACGGCTATCCAGTTGTTATTCTTAAAAGTTTACTGGTCAATAGACTGGAAATATAGTTATTCTTTTCGGCATTACTTTCGCTTGTGACAAAAACAACCTGGACATACCCCTCCCCTCTCTTTTACATAAAGAAAAAGATTTGGGGTAGTTGTCAGAGAGGCATGTCTACAAGTTGAATTTTTGCCTCAGATCTCATCAATCGTGGCTAAAATGTAACTTTATTCCACTTTAGGTAACCGATGACGTGAAAGCTGTCATCAATCGTGGGAATGTCACTTACGGGAAATACAAGGAACTGAGTTCTTCCATGGAACATGTGCTCAACCTCTTGATTCAGCTTAACACAGAAATCCACAGTTAGTATGGGGGCGTTAAAATATGACGCCATGAATTTTTAATGACTTGTACAACCCCTTCCTCCATCGTTACCGTTACACGTCTCAAAAATTCATAGCACATATCTGATAAAATGTAAATTAAACATTAGTTTTTAAAGAAATGCAAAATTGTAATCTTCTGCCCCCCTAGTCACACATCGTCACAAAATCTAACCCCAACTCTTCACCCTAAGTGTGTAGCTTTATTTTGTAGCTTAATAAAGCTTATACGTTATTTTATATGTAAAGCTTTAGAATATCTTTAGGCTATTGAAATCAGCTAATAACTGCATATATATATATATATATATATATATATATATATATATATATATATATATATATATATATATATATATATAGGCTACTATATATTGTAATCGCATAACAATTTATTTTTGACAGTCAGGATGCTTTTTCGGTAAATAAATAGATCATAGGGGGAAAGTAGGTAATTTGTACCGCCTAGGGAAAACGTTAACTTAAAAATAACTTCAAGTCAAAATCAATTGATTGTTGTTTTTTTTTTACTTTGAAGAAAAATTTATCGTAGACTAGATTTAAAAAAAAATCAGTTTTAATGTATACTTATAAATAAAAAGAGCACAGTAATTAAGACAAAATAATTACAGCAAAGCTACTAATTACCTACACAGTGGTCCAATTATGAAGCAAAAAGGTACCCGTATGGGGATATAGATAATTATTTTTAGCACTAATATGTCGATAAACAGTGACCAATTGCTACATAGACATTAACTAAACATCACTACTGTAAACGGTCACTGTATAACCTTGCTAGTTATAAACGTTTCTTTCTACAAAATATAACCGCCGCTCGTTCAAATGTCAAGATACATAATTATCTATATCCAGAATTTAGACAGAAAAGCCATGAAGCAGCCAGCGTATGTCAGAAAAGCCACGTAGTAATGCTTACTTGAAATGTGGGGCCCTATATCAATTTAAAAAATAAAATTAATAAAAGCTTGATAAAGTTAAAATAACCAAGAAGACGAACTATAACACAATCGGAAATGGAAGGTGGTACAACTGTAAAATGTAGGTGTAAAGTAGTCTAAATAATTATAACTATTGATTATATATATATATATATATATATATATATATATATATATATATATATATATATATATATATATATATATCAGGTGGTGTAATTATTTTAACCGCCATCGCATGGTATGCTTTAGCTGACTTTGACTACGAACCAATTTTTGCTTCCCGTTTGTAATTGTCTAAGTTTACTAAACAAAATTTATTTTTTAATGAAGTATATATTTTTTGGTCAGCATCTAAGTACGTTTAAAACAAAATACGGTTATCCTCTTCAGCATAGCACAGTTACAAAGAAAACCCAACTTTACCTCGAACAGTGACAAAACACAAAATTTTACTTACCGCTTTTCTATTAACTCATAAATTTAGATACCGCAATACTTAATAAATATACCCAGTTTTAACATAATTGAGAAATAATTTTGTTATTTCTGTGATTTTTAATTTATTTTAGAGCCAAGAGATATTGTGAATTCTATTAATGCTGACGACGTTGTTGAGACTATTTACAGCCGGTTATCTTCTGAATTGAGAAATAAAGACACAGAAATACATTTAATGCTATTAACCCAGAAGAAAGAAATCGAAGAAAATAACCAACGAACGTTAGACGCTTGGTTTCAGAAGTACAAAGAGTTAACGACCCACTTGGATAATTTAGAAGTTGAGGCTCAAAATAATTATAAGGAATTATCTTTAGAAAAATCAAAAAGTTTTGAAAAGCAAAACAACAATATGGTACAACTGAAGAGAGAAAACGAATCGATGAAGCATGACATTTCTAATGTCATGGAAAGGTTGAAAAACCTTCAAGAAAATTGGAGTTCCCAAAACATGAATTTTTCTGAAATGCAAATAAAAACTAATGAAGATTCGTCTAAGAAATTTGAAGAATTTAACACGCGCCTTTCTGAGATAGTGTCACAAATTGGAAATAATGAAACATATATGAAAGAACAATTTCTGGATCTAAGGGAAAATTACACGAAAATTGGTCAATTAGAAAATCAAAACAATGATTTGAAGATACGTTTGTCTGAACTATCAGATAAATTTGAACGAATAGGTAATTGCCAAGTTGACAAATCTGAAACGTTGGTGAAGCCTTTGCATCATGGCACACAAGAGGCAATGCAGCCAGATACAACACCTGGTAATGCTAAGGCAAAAAACTGGCTTGAAGCGCTAGAAGCACTAACTGGCATGCCTAAAGAAATTGATGATGTGAAGAAAGAGCAATCAAATGTCGAGCAT